ATGTGCAGTGCACGTTCAACTCTGATTGACATTTACATAAGGCATGACTAATGGTGAGCCAACAACTAAAAAGAAATTGTCTGAATTCTTCTAAAAATGTGTAAGAAGAACACCAAGGATTTTGGCGGGAAAAGAGTGGTGGCTGGTGGGGCTCCATGGCGGCGTAGTTGGCAGGTAACGGAAGCAACCACTGCCTAGGTCTACTCACTTCTTTCTGCGTGGCTCGCTTGTCCATGAATAAGATAAACTTTAAACAAAATTTTATAATTATTTTCGAGATAACCCTCGAACAGTTGAAATTCTAGCTATCTATCAGAGAAAAAGAACGGATGAACATTGTAGGATTCCCAAAAAAATCTTCGATTTCTTCCGAAGAATACAAAGTTAATTTTTATTCAAACAATACAACTTATTTAATTTTAAATCGCTTCTTTTTATTATCATTTGGCACATGGTGGTTTCATCGTAATCCTATTTTAGTAAAAAATAATTTCCTATTTAAGAAAATGAACAAATTAAAATTGATTTAAATTATACTACAAAAATTAACGAAAAAGAAATCTAAGGTTTAAGCATATGATAACTTTATTGCTTTTTAAATGTTAAATAATATTATTTAATTTCTTAAACTTAATTTCGTATAAATGTTTAAGGGTATAAAAAATGAGACGAGAAGCGTTTAGGACATAGACCACCCACTTCAATTTCTCAACTAACCAGAAAATCCCAGCTTCACTTGGACATTTTGCCCAAATCCGCCATGAAAATTGCACTATAATTTATCCTATGTTTGGCAAATAAATTTATAGATAGTTCATAAAATTCCATCAATGTCAAATATCAATTTAATTTATACATTTATAATTATTATTCATTATTATTCACACATTTCGTAAGATCTGTTTATTATTATTATTATTATTATTATTATTATTATTAAGGATAATTGTAACAAAAATTCTAAACTTTTGAAACACTAGCAGACTTTTTTCGAATCTTTGATTTGTTGTAGCTGTCACCCCTAATATTTTCAAATGTTGTAGTTGATGTCTTTCTGGGCAGTTTCCATCCACAATTTCGTCGACTGAAAATTTTAACTTTGATTATATTTTTA